AGAAGAAGGCAGGCAAACAGAGATGGCTGTAGCATCACTAGGGCTCATGGGGTGGGCAGACTGGGCTGTCTGTGCTAAGAGATTTTTGCTGTGGTTTGGGGGTCCTTACTCTCCTTTTCTTGGTCCCTAACTATTTTCAATCCTGATACTTTACATCCCATTTACTCTGTAAGTTCCCTGATATTCTTTCAATAAGTCCCTTTTAAGTTAGCCAGAGCTGTCCTTTGAAGCTTTTAGTCAAGAGTGCTCACTAGTAGAACGGAGCCTCTGTCATCCTTGTGGTTTGGTGGATGGAGAAAGGAATCACTTGGAGGACCAACCCTACTCACTGAACTGGGCTGTGTTTCCGGGCTTGCTTGCTGCCCCAGGCTGGTCTTAGGGCACTGGCTCGGGTACCAGAACCATTATGCCAGGAATCTGGTCTTAAATGTGACTTGCTCTCTATCTAAATGTAGGGAAGTTCACACTGGCCAGGACCAACTTCTCAGAGAATCAGGCACAGGACAGAGATGGCTGGGTCCAGGATTATCCTGTGACAAGATGGTGCCAGTTGCTTCTGGTCATGAGTTGGCTTGGGATAGAAGCAGAGAAAAATGAACCCTTAGGCTGCTGGGAAGTTTCAGCTGTATCCCACCCTCTAACCCCCCCACCCCAAGCAAACAAATATTTTCCCATTTGTGTAAATCTCCATTCCTCATGAGGATGAAAAAGTGGAGAAACAAACTTTGTTAATATAAGATCATGTCCAAGAATTATCATCCTCAATCACTTTGGAGATCTTGCTTTCTAGGAATGCTGACCACTGGAGAGGTGGTGGCTGGAAATTCTGCATCCAGGCACTCAGTGCAGACTTCTTAGGCCAGCCTGGAGGTGGGGCTGTCTGCATGTGGTCACTTTGGGCTAATAAATTAAGATGCTACCCTACCAGGGATGTAGCATTCAACAGCTGAACCTCACTTTGCATTTTTATACTTAAAGAGGTTAATTACTGAAAAATGGGTAAAATTCAAATAATCTTTAGAGTGGTGGACAGAACTTTCTAAGAGTGACACAAAACTCAGAAGCTATAGAGAGACAAGACTGACAAATCTGATGCCATAAACATGTCAAATTTCTATATTAAAAAAAACAGCAAAAAGCAAACAGCAAAGTGAGAAAACTAGCAGCAACTTCTATGACAAACAAAGGAATCATTTTCTTAATATACTGAGCTTTTACGAGTAAATTCAATTTAAAAAAAGGGAAGGAGAGAGGAACAGTAAGTTCACAGAAAATGAGATTAAAATCACCAATAATCATGAAACATTTCTCAAACATTCATGAAATGAAATTTTCATGAAAATGAAATTTAAATGAAAATTAAAACAAATGTAGCCATTTAATTGTGCATGCCCCCAATAATTGCTCTGTACAAAAATACACCACTGTTCTATCACAGGCCATTAAGAGTGTCTTTCTCTCTTTTCTTATATTTCTCCCTTGGGTTTCCAGGCAGTTACTCACCTGCTGTCATGGGACAGCCATTTCTTTAAAAGTGCCAACCGTGGGAACCCCACAGTAGAGGCCAATTTCCCACTCTCACCTCCCAGTGCTGACACTGACAATAAGTAACACTGGGTAAGTATTGATACTAAAATGGAGACTTCGAGCATGTGTGCTAGGGACGGTGTCCCTGCGAGGGAGGTGATGATGGGGCAGGTTCCATGCAAGAGTAGATAGACGAAAGAATGGGAGTTCTGCTGCAGAAGAGGCGGGACAGGGCTTTCCTCCAGACCCTGAAACACCACGTGCGAAAACAAAGGAGTGTGCAAAAGCCAGGTGCAAGTGTGGATCTGCAAGCTGTGGGAGGGGCGCCGAGCTCGGCGGGAAGGGACTTCTCCCGAGCGGATTCCTTTCCTGCTCAGGGACTACTTTCGGCCGTCGAGGGGCCTGACAAAATTACTTGCCTCACAGTTCGCGGCTGAAAGGGAGCTTCCATTCAACTTTCCCTTTTCATAGAGAACTATATGGAGGACTTAAAGAAGTGAAATGACCTGTCCCAGGTCACAGCTCTGACCCACACTGGGGTCCTGACTGCCAGTCGGCAGATTTTCCTTCCTCTGACCCTACCGCACTGCGCAGGGTATCAATCCCAAACTCTGCTCCGTGCCCCGCGGTCGGGGTCTGCTCGATGGACTACACCTCCCACAATGCCTTTGGCCCAGGCTCCCTCCCTCTGCCCGGCTGGGTCCGTATCCGCCAATAGGAAAGCAGAGTTTCCAGGTGCAGTTCTCGGTGGCCAATGAGCGCGGCTGAGGGCGGGCCTCTCCCGTCCATTGTTCTCGGTGCCCCTCGGGCTTGAGCCACCTTGACTCCGGAGGTGCCGGGCAGTGCCCGGGGGCGCTTTTGCTCGCGGAGCAGCCGCGGGATTGGCATCTGGTCTCTGGAGAGGTGAGCCCGGAGAGCCAGAGCTGGAGCCGCGCGGGCCGGGAGAACAGCCCGAGGCAAGGGGATAACGGGCCTGGAGCCAGTGCGGGCAGCCCTGTTGGGGGAGGGGCGTCGGGGGCTCTGTCCCCGTCCCGCGGGTCCCCGCTCTCCCGGTTTAGGCGCACGGTTGGCTCAGCGACCGGACATGGACTCTTCTCCCTAGCGGTGAGCTCCGTGTACATCCAACCGGGGGCGCAGAGTTTAGACTGGAAGGCACAGTGGACGACATCCCGAGCAGCTCATTTTACAGATGGGGAAACTGAGCTTCAGAGGGGGCGTGGCTTGCCCCAGGTGAGACAGCAAATTAACTTGACTAGGAACGGTTTTCCCGGGTTCCCAGTTAAGAGTTGTGTTATACTTGTGTTTCTTTTAGCCATTTGGTGAATACATATTGAGAGCTTCAGTGTTTCCACTAGCTTTTCTTTTTTGTTCTTTTTTTAAAAAGTTTTTCCTTCCCTGTTTTTCTCGTGTGGGGGTTATCTGAGTCTACGATGTAGTGACGATTTTTAAAAATAACTTTTCATTGCCTTTTAGTCTTTATTTTAAATAATTTGTAATTTCACTGCTCTCAACATTTTGTAGAATTTCTGTCCAGGTTTTTTTTTTCCTTGTGTATGTGTTCATTTTTAAAAGGAATTGGGGTCATACTGTGTCTATGGTTTTTTTTGCTTTGTTGGTTTTGTTTTTATCCACTAATTTTCATATTATGAGGATTATTTTAAATAATTAATGATTAATAATTATTGTCAGCATTATTTTAAAATTTTAAAAAATACATAGAGCAGAGTGCACAAATCTTAAATTTCATATGTATGCTCTTATGCAACCATTGTCAAATCAAGATATAGAACATTTCCAGCTCCACTGAGCCCCTTGTCAGTAACGGTCCCTCAAAAGGTAGCCATTATTACATTAGCACAGTTTTAAAATTTTATTTGTTTATTTAATTTATTTATTTTTGGCTGCGTTGGGTCTTTGTTGCTGTGCGCAGGCTTTCTTTAGTTGCTGCGAGCGGGGGCTACTTTTCGTTGCAGTGAGCGGGCTTCTCATTGCGGTGGCATGTCTTGTTGGGGAGCATGGGCTCTAGGCGCGCGGGCTTAAGTAGTTGTGGCACACGGGCTCAGTAGTTGTGGCTCTCAGGCTCTAGAGTGCAGGCTCAGTAGCTGTGGCGCACGGGCTTAGTTGCTCCGTGGCATGTGGGCTCTTCCCGGACCACGGCTCGAACGCGTGTCCCCTGCATTGGCAGGAGGATTCTTAACCAAGGAAGTCCCACATTAGCATAGTTTTTAATACTTTACTGTATGAATGTGCCATAATTAACCATTCTCCTGCTGCTGGATTTTTAAGGTGTCAAGTTTTCTTTTTGCAGTTAGAAACAATGTTATGGTTGTGTGTCCTTGCAAATAAATTTCTCTTTACCAAGATGGTTATTTTAAAAAATAAATTCCTGAGGGGCCAAGGCTGGATCTAAGAGTACAAACATTTTAAAACTTCATATTTTAAAATATGGTAATAATGCAGTTGAGGTATTTCCTTCCTTCCAGTGAGCGTCAAAGTGTCTTGACATCTGATCCTTTGCAAATCCTTGAGAGGTCCCCTTCAGATAAGAAGGATAGGTGTTATTATCTCTACTTATTAGGTGGTCAGTGAGGTTGTGTGACTGAGTTGTATGTTAGGTCAGGGTCACTCTGCAGCAAGTCTGAACTGACTTAGGGCAGGATAACTCAGTCCTGGGTTCTTTCAAGGACTTTGAATTTCTGATACTCATGCTTTGGTCTTTTGGAAAGAAAAATACTCTATTTTTTGTGCTTGTGATTCTTCTTAACTTCTCTTGCCATAGAGATGTTTTCAGGAATAAGCCATTTTTCCTTTAAGAGGGACAGGAAACTTCTGTTGATTTGCGGATGTTAGAATCATTTGGTGGCCTGACCTGGGCTGCTGTGAGTTAGATTGTTTTAGGACAGTTTACTTATTGATTCTAGTTCTCTTTCTCATTCTTAGCCAGACTCCTTGTTGAAATTTGAGGAGGGTGCTGTCTTCTCAGAGAGCCTGGCTGGAGAAGACTGAAGGTCAAGGTTAGAAGCCTGAGTGATTCCCCCCAGAACGTGGATGATGGCCTCGGAGGTGCCGAGAGTAACCACTCCCCTGAGCCCCTTAGTCCGTGTCCCTCAAGAGGAAGATGACCAGGAGGAGGAGGTCACCACCATGATCCTGGAAGACGACTCCTGGGTGCAGGAAGCTGTGCTGCAGGAGAATGGCCCTGAGTCAGAGCCCTTTCCCCAGAGCGCCGGCAAGGGCAGCCCCCATGAGGAGGTGGCCGGAGGGCCACAGGGTGCCCTTGGCCGTCTTCGAGAGCTCTGCCGGCGCTGGCTGAGGCCAGAGGTGCACACCAAGGAGCAAATGCTGACCGTGCTGCCAAGGGAGATTCAGGCCTGGCTGCAAGAGCATCGACCCGAGAGCAGCGAGGAGGCGGTGGCCCTGGTGGAAGATTTGACCCAGACCCTTCGGGACAGTGGTGAGATGCAGAACCTCGTAGGAAAAGGGTGGGAGCAGCCCTCTGAGATGGAAGAGTGTGGTGTTTGCAGAGGAGAAGGTGGTATCCAGGATTGAGTTCGGGTCAGCCCCATCCCTCTACTCTGTTTGCAGGTGATCAGCACATTGTCACCCCGAAATGCCCTGGTTGTGTGCAGTGACAGTTCCAGAATTTCAGTATAAGAGGGGCTTAGAGGACTATTCTCAGAGCTAAATTTACGTAGTTAGCACAGTTTTTTTGTGTGTAGTTGGAGTGGTTGGGAAGCTGATGGAGGTTATGAGGTGAGGGGCTGAAGACCCCCATAAACCACCCCTTGGCACTTTCACCTGGTTGTGCAATAAACTTCCAAATATTGAAGTTCCAGCAATTAGGAAAACCAAATCCTGTTTTAGAAAAGTGATTATTTTTGTGAAATCAAGGTGAATGACGAGTAAGCCGGCTAATAACTAGGGGCTTAGCTGTGGTATAAAGTCATCCCAGGCTCTTAAAAGAGTAATTCCAAACCTAGCTTTTTGCAACAGTTAATATATTTATTTGTCTCTTGTGTTATTAATACGTTGTGGGGCCCATGCACGCCGTTCAAGCACTCTGCCTCAATTCTGGTCTTCAGTTGTAAACTGGACTGCCTTGCTTACCAGATATTTACTTCAGATCTACCTGTGCCCCTAGGACTGTTTCAGGACCCCCGGGAACCAATGGCTGCCTTTGTGAGGATGTTCAGGGAACGGAGTGGGGAGAGGAGAGGAGAGGTCAGAGAAGGCTTCACAGAGGATGTGACCCTTGAGCAGGAGTTGAGCTGGAGGGGGGTTTGGAAAGGTGCGGGGCAGGGGGAGGGTGTGGCATCCCAGTGGAGCTGAGGCTCAGAAGGGTGGACCGGTGTGGGATGTTGGGATGACCATATAAGGAAGGCTGGCTGATTGGAGTGGAAAGTGTGTTTTTAGGAAAGGGTAGGAAGGGTCTGGGGGAAGGGTGGGTGAGGCTTAGACCAAATGTCTTTGGCCTCAGCAAATTCTCAACTAGGGCCCCAGGGGCATGGGAGGAAGCTGAGCTTAGCAACAGGATGCAGGTTTGGTTACAGGAGGGAGAGGCGGAGGGAGAGCAGCCAGGAAGCTGTCGGATGCTGGATGGGCAGTGATAGGGGTGGGTCCAAGGTGGGCACTGCAGGGGAAGAGGAGGAGACTGGATGCATGTGAGAAAGAACTAATAGTAACCTAGCCAGCACTGATGGATCCTTTTTGTGGGCCAGCCAGTGTGCCTAGCATCTGATATGCAAAACTCACATAAACTCTCAGAGAGCCTGGCTGGAGAAGACTGAAGGTCAAGGTTAGAAGCCTGAGTGATTCCCCCAAGAACGTGGACGATGGCCTCGGAGGTGCTGAGAGGAACCACTCCCCTGAGCCCCTTAGTCCAGGTGCCTCATGAGGAAGATGACCAGGAGGAGGAGGTCGCCGCCATGATCCTGGAAGATGACTCCTGGGTGCAGGAAGCTGTGCTGCAGCTTGGAGACAAGCGGAATTATCATCACCGGGGAAGATAAGTGACTCCCTTAAGGTCGCGCAGCTAGTACGAGGCTGAACCAGGATGCCAGCTCAGGGGTCTGAGGACTTGGCTCATGTTCTTAAGCATTTCGTCACATCTGATGCAAAGTCATAGTTGCCGGTGGGGTGTTGGAAAGAGGGGCTGCAGATGAGGAGTAAGACAAAGGTGACTAACTCAGAGGCATCTAGTCTAGAGGATTCAGAAGGCTGGAAAGGGAAGGTGGTTTGGGGACAGAGTTGTAACAATGCCCAGGGACTTGGGATATGTGAGTATAAAGCTGTCCTTTGGAGAAAAGGGTGGTCACGGAGGGCCACCTGTAAGCCCAGGCCTTCACTGAGCACCTCACATGTCCATCTCGCTGATAATCCCATGAGGTGAGCGGAACTGTCATTTTACAGATGAGGAAATGGAAGTTCAGCAAGGTCAAGCTCTTCCTTGAGGTCCCACAGCTGGTTAGTGATGGAGCCAGCATTCAAACTCCAGTCTGTTTGCTTCCACATGTGTTTGGTAGATCCCAGGTTTTATTTGAAGCAAAATACCTGATTTTCTTTGGCCCTGAAAAATAGCTTTTAATTTTACGCTTCCTACTTAAAAAAGCAAAAGCCTCTCATCCTATTGAAAAACCTTGTTTACTATGTAACAAGTTTGTGATGAACCTCAGGCTCTTCAGTGAGATGCTAAAGAGAGGCCAGAGGAGTGGAAGGCTGAGGAGAAACCTCTGGGGTTACTGTTCAGTTGGGGAAGTCACAAAGCAGCGCGTCAAGTCTCATCAGGTGTCTCTGAGGCAATGACAGGCTCCCACTGTGACAGCCCTCCCCACCTGGCTTGCTGGAGGGGCTTTGTGCCTTTCATCTTTCACAGGACATCCCGGATGGGGAATGGTCCAGACTGAGTGGGCTTGTCAGTGCTCTCATTTCTGCCATTGAGATCGTCTTTGTTGGTTTTCATTTGTCTAATACATGCTCCTGACCTGCCTTATGATTGCTCAGAGGAACCTCTGCAGTGATCTCCATCCCTTCTCAAACATTTACTCAACATTAGACCACTTGATCTCTAGTCTGTTTGTCCAGCTCGGGACCTTTGGTCACATTTACCCAGCACATTTTCAAGGCCTGGTTAGACAGTGGTTGTTTAATATTTGACTAGCAGGCACCTCTAGGTGTTCACAGTTAAAATATCTTAAAATTCCAGTTGAGATTGGACCTATATTAATAGTTTAAGTGGTAAAGCTCATCTCTCTTTGTGTTTCCCAAGGGCATTTTGATCCCCATACCCAGCCCTGTGTCAGGCTCTTGGTATTTCACCTGAACTCTCGCAGCAGCCTCCAAAGGGAACCTGCCTTCAGCCTCTTTCCCCTGCACTGCTCCACTCCTACCTGTGTGATCGGGCACTCTCCTGCTTAAAAATCTTCTTGAGTTCCCCAGTGTCTCCCAATCAACCATGACCTCTTTGTTCTGCTTGCAGCCCGTGGCCCTGTGTGAGCTGGCCCAGGTGCCCATGGCTGGTCCTCCTCTGATCCCCTTGCCACAGCTCTTGCTTCATTCAGACCAGATCTTGCTGTTTCTTGAACATAATCTGTACTTGCTGGCATTCACCTGTGCTTCTGAGTTTTGACTTGGAGTGGCCTTGTCCATCCCTGTGTGATAAAATCCTGGTCTTCCTGGGCCTCCCTGGTGGCGCAGTGGTTGGGAGTCCGCCTGCTGATGCAGGGGATGCGGGTTCGTGCCCCGGTCCGGGAGGATCCCGCATGCCGCGGAGCTGCTGGGCCCGTGGGCCATGGGCGCTGAGCTTGCGCATCCGGCAACGGGGGGGGGGCCGCGACAGTGGGAGGCCCACATATCGCAAAAAAAAAAAAAAAAATCCTGGTCTTCCTTTGAGTGCACACCTTTGGAGACCTGCTCCATAAAGCCGTCCTTACTTCCGGCCCCTGTTTCCTGTCCCCAGTTCCGCCCACCTGAGAGCACCTCTGATCACCTCTGCTAGAAGTCATCTCCCCCAGAACATTTGGATTCTCCTCCTCTTTTGGCTTTGTATCGTATTCCGTCTTGTTTTTTATTTGTATGAATACTCATCTTATTTCTTCTAGGAACCTATAAAATCCCCAAAGTCAAGGAACCTATCTTTTTCTTAACCTTTTTCTTATTTTTTTTAAGCTCTCACAGTACCCAGCACAGTGCCCTGTATGTAGTGGGGACCCAGTAAGTATTGTCGGGATGAGGAAATGAATCCTTCCAGCCTCCCTGCAGGTGTGGAGAAGCTCACCTGCCGGGTCCATGAAGGAGGCAGATAGCTGCTTCCTTCCAGGCTTATCTGCCTTTCCTTGAGAAAGCCAAGCTAAGTTTTGTTTTAAAACAAAATGGGGTCGGGACTTCCCTGGCGGTCCAGTGGTTGGGACTTCGCCTTCCAATGCAGGGGGTGCAGGTTCAATCCCTGGTTGGGGAGCTAAGATCCTACATGCCTCGTGGCCAAAAAACCAAAACATAAAACAGGAGCGATAGTGTAACAAATTCAAAGACTTTAAAAATGGTCCATATCAAAAATATCTTAAAAAAAAAAAAAAAAGGTCAAGCCCAAAGTTGGCAGAACGTAGCCAGGTATATTTCCAAATCTAGAAAGGGAGACTAGGTAGGACTGCAGCTTAGACCTGGGAGAATTCTTAGGCCGGTAGGCAAGTCAAGCAGCTTAGTCCAGCAAGAGAGCACCAACTCTTAGGTTTTCGTTCTTGGAAGCTCTGTATTAATCCTTTGTTTATATTCAGCAAACTCAGTGATTAATCCTTTGTTTATATTTAGCAAACTCAGTGAATATTATCATATTTATGCTGTTAACAAAGATGTTTATAAACATAGAGAACATGTTTCTGAGTATGGAGGTGGGTGCTATTGCCGTTTCTCAAATTCCAAAGGCTTAAGGATATCTCCTTTCATGGCCTGAGAATAAACCAGTAGGTGGCCTTTTTCACCTGTTGTTATCCAGCCAAACTGGTAGGAGTAGTCCATGGGACTGGCAGCATTTACTTGAAGGGACAAGCTTTGGATTTGGAAACCTAAGGTATGGTGAATCCACACCCCGGGGAGGACAGTTGCCTGGAGGTCTCTTGCACCGGGGAGCTGGTCTTGGATGTGGCCACCAGCGCACAAATGCCAGAGAAAATGAAACTGTTGTGGGCTGGACGTGGAAGCCGCAGTAGGGCATCACTGGTCCTGTGGAGACCATCCATCCAGTGATGTGCTCTTTCTTTTTTAAATAAATTTATTTATTTGTTTTTGGCTGTGTTGGTTCTTCGTTGCTGTGTATGGAGTTTCCCTAGTTGCGGTGAGCAGGGTCTACTCCTCGTTGCAGTGCATGAGCTCTAGGCGCGCAGGCTTCAGTAGGTGTGGCTCGCGGGCTTAGTTGCTCCGCGGCCTGTGGGATCTTCCCGGACCAGGGCTCAAAACCGTGTC